TAACACTGAAAGACAATACTTTTGCTTTTTGTCGATCAATATGTACTAATCTATTTTATTTTTATCTGTTTAACAGTGGGGCGTCTCATCACTATCCTCAGAAAAAGGTGTGTGTATGGGTTTTTTGAAAACAGATTATTATGGTAACTACAATGCTACTTTATTTATGGTTATATCTTCATCAGCAAGAAGCGTAGCAGATTTTTCTCACTTTTCCACTGAAGCAGAATCGATCTTATTACCAGCTACCAAATTCAATGTTATTAGCAACGAAATCAGTACAATACATAAAGGATTAGCTGAAATAAGTCTTGAAGAAATTGAAGCTTCTCCCGATGGTAAATCACTTACTTTGAAACTAGTTTGTTCTTTTTTCATGCAAAGAGTTGAAAACAAGTCATGATTTGGATTTCATTCATAAATAAAATTGATAGTAGAACGACCGGAAAAATATAAAACATGTCAATTTAAAACAAATATTATTGAAATATTTCTAATATTAGCAGTTTCTACAACAACATCGAAAGCTACAGTAACGACATCAAAACCAACGACTACGTCAAAAATAACAACAACATCAAAAACAACAACAACAACACCAAAACCAACGACAACATCAGCAACAACAACGACGTCAAAACCAACGACGACGTCAGCAACAACAACGACATCAAAATCAACAGCCACATCAAAACCAACAGCTACATCAACAACGACAACAACATCAAAACCAGTGAAAACGTCAAAAGCGACACCAACATCAACAAAGAAAAAAACACTAACATTAACAACAATCTTGCAACCATCATCAACATTGGCTAGCGCTGGACTTGGAAAAAGGTAATGGGATGAATAGAAAGAAACAACTGAAAAAATCACTTTTAAAAGATCAATTTGATCACAGAACGAGAGAGACGATCGCATATATCTGCTTAAATAGGGAATGCATCCATCACTGAATCTCAAATTTTTAATTCTAAGGATGTGTATTGGTTCACTCCATATTACTATTGTACTACAGTTTGAACAGAAAGTATCTCCTCAAAAGAAAATATATATACATTATGTATTTAAACTTGCTTTATAAGAGAAGAATATCTCTTTTGAGAAGGATTGTTTCCACATGTTACTTGAATTCGTATACCGGTACAATGATTTTGAAAAACAATTATAACATGTTTATTTGTATAAATTTGTTGAATTTATTCTAAACTTGAATTGTATTATTTAGTGATAAGAAAAGAAATCTATTGTTGATTGTGACTGTTGTCATCGTCACATTTGTAATCATCTCTGGACTTATTACAGCCGTTGTTTATTATTATATGAAAATTAAGTAGTATGGATGATCACAATTATCAAAACAATTAACAATGATCACTGCACATTTATTTACGTTTTCTTCTCCTATTGATTATAATTGAAATTTCGTCGACATTTCATATTTTCGATTAGAACGACTCATACAATTAATTCAAGTATTTTTGCATTTTTGTTTGTCATAATATTTTATATGCCATTATTTTCATTATAGATAGTGACAGTTTTTAATATATCTATTAAAAAGTAACAAATCATATAATTCAATAGTATTGATCAGAAGATGAGACTGAGTATTAATCTATTATATTTATTCGTAAAAAAAAATAGTGGAATAGTTCTAATCGATTCGCATTCAGTTGATGTATCACTTTCAACTTTGTTCTATGTAAATCATCAATAAACACGATACTTCATTCAACAGAATTTGTCATCAAAAAATATTGTCAATGGCCGCAGTAGAATTTTTTCAAAAAAAATGCATTGTAGATTTGAAGAGCATATAAAAAGTGATATATATTCAAACTAATTGGAACATGTGTAAAAATTGATTCTATTGTGTTTTCTTCTTTACTGATAAGTTCGACAATAAACTAGTATAAATTTTTCTTTCGAGACTTCTGATTTAGGAATAGAATAGAAAGTTGACAAAAAAAATCATCTTCAACTTCGAAGCTAAAGTTATTATGATGAACAATATTAGTTGAATAGTCAGAATTGACAAACATATTTGGATGTCTCTGAAGCATCGATGATCTTTGAAACATTCATAAATATTTTACCAACGTTTGTGTATTTCGATAATAATTTATTGATCAAATTCTACCCGAAGTTTATTTCTTTTGTAAGATGATATTTGAGTTGATATGATGAACATGATGTTTCAAGTAAGTCAATGGTCTCAATATTCAGTTTGTGCCAACTTGTCGCAAACAGTGATTTTCTTGTAAATGATATGTTCACGTCATCGAAATATTTTGATCATATTTTTGTAATATTTCATTCACTTTCAGTCATAAAGATATCTTGGATATTTGATTAGCTACGCTAGTGATAGGACTATGATGTGGTCGAAAGCTTTTTTCTAAGATAGGCAAATTTGGATTTGTGTGAAATATGTATTTCTATTTAATTTATTCTATGATCGAAATCACATAGACGAATAAAAATCTATAATTTTATTATAAGATCAATATTAAGTTAATAGGACAAATGCTATTTCCAACTTTACAAAACATCTATATAGTTTTGACAAGATTGATGCTGATGTCTTAGTTTGTGAAAAAATGGTAGAAATATGTATTTAATCATTGATCTGAGCGTTGTTGAGATATCAAGCAATTTACCTATTCGATATTCTTTTTTTTTCGTATATCAAACGTTAGATTATCTCACGAAACTACTAACCGAACGATGATACTCTTGAATGAAAAATCATGAAACTAACAAGTTGATTTAATTAGTCGATTGATGCAAATTTATTCGAGTCAATGAGAAATGAGTAGACTAACTAATCATGATAAACTGGCCAACAACTATTATGTGCTGTTAATGGTTATTGATTATTAGGTATTAACCATTATTAGTTATGCAAAAATTTTTTATTTATAACTGATAATGAATAGTTCATAATGGTCATCTACACAATCTTTGTTCATAATTGTTGCTTGAACAAGACTCGTTCAAAAAACTTACGAGAAAACTCTCCCAACTGATTCCAAATATCAGGGTCCTAGACGTCTTCAAGTTTTTATAGATTCTGTGCCCTGACATCATTGAATTCTATTTCTGATCAGTTTAACTTATATCGCTAGAAAAAATATTCACACAAAAATTTAATTTACCAGATGAAGAACTTGTCTCGTTATGATATGTTTGCAAGCGTAGAGCTGAGCTTTTAAACGTTCCATTACTTTACTTCTCACCCATCGAAGGTTCTCGATAATGTAAAGAGGGTCTGGGTCGCATTGATACCCACATTCACATCATGTACCAACACGGCCCGTGTGAATAAGTAAACTTCTACCATCTCATCGTCAATATTTTTAAGCTCTTACATGAATTTTAAAATGTGAATTAGACCTTGGAGCAAAAAATCGATCTTTGTGTCATTGTTTGCCACCTTTTCGATAGCCTTTTTTCTTGTGACTCTTCTTAATGAGAGTAAATGAACAAGAAAAAATAGAATAGAACACTTAGATGAGCAAAATTTTAAAGAAGCAGAATTATTTTGAAATTATGAATTGCAAAAGTCTACGAGTGAAATAAACGAAATTAAATTTGACATCGTCCATAGAGATATAAACAATGAAGAATATGGATGAAGTATGTTTTGGAGGATTTATTTCGAGCAAAAACTTTACAAAATGATTAACTATTATAAGTCTTTTATGATGTATGAGTGTGTAATATATGTTTAAAAGTGGTATGGATGATGATATGTGTCGTGTGACACTAGCATAGTTCTCATGAGATGATCAATCAAACTACTTGCATTGAACATCTTAATATTTGTATTATCGCTTATTTTCATAATGCGATCGTTTTCGTCTCTCTCTCTCGTTTTCGCAAATTTTACTTTACCGACATCTTTTTATTTCAACTAAAACAAAATATACGCAATCAGGCAGACAATTAAGTGTATGAGATACACGCCTGTAAATACAATGTCTATACTATGATTAAAAATCCGTCTGTAGATAAAATGTACATAGATGGTTAGATAGGTATATATATATATGGTTATCAGTTCACTTCCACAGTTATTCGTAGAAAAACAAGTGAAGAGTAAATTACAATAAAAAAAAGGATTCGAATAAGTAAGCTGGATGTTTAAACTGAAATTTTTAAGGTCACTTTCCATCTATATTAACTTGATTAATACTTCACATTAAGCACGAAAATAATTAGTATGCACTTAAAGAGTATTCCCTTATATAATACAAGTTACTGATAATAAGATCTGAACAGATTAAAAAATTAAGATTCTGTCAGATTTGTAACACTAAAAAGCCGAATATTAGTTTCATAAGTCGATTTTCATTTTGATTTCTATAGCATTCAACTGAATCGTATAAAGTTTTGATAGAGTCTCATTAAACTCCGATAAAAATTTGATCGAATATTGATTTGATCTCATTGTCAAATAGATTCTTCTAGAATCGTCTCTATACTATATCAATGAATGTTTTTTTTATCTTTTTCAATCTGAATCATTATTTTTTGAAATTGTTTAATTGTTGAAAAAAAATCATATTAGAGAACGCTCACATAGATTGACTTATTTTTGCTTTTCAACAAATGTAAAAAAAAGAGTAAGTTCATTGATTTGTATATTAATGAGACTAAATACATTTTAGTTCAAAAATAAAAATTATTATAACCTAAGATATATTTCAATAGAATGAATAAATTGTGTTTTATACGTAATACTGATTTTCATTCGATGGTCATTTTAATTTTGAGAATCACGTCAAGAGATATGAATCGGAATCAGTATTTTGAATAGCAAGCAGATATATCAAACAAAAACATGATATACAGATCATCTTCTGCTTCTCATGTCTGTTCTATTTTATTCGTTGGTTAGAAAAACAAAATGTACTACAAAATATACTTTGCTAAAGAAATTTCTATTTTAATTCCAGAACTTAAAATGTTGTATGTCGTTTTCAAATCAAAGATTATATTTGTTATATAAAGTCATATTTCTTGTGTTCTCTTACTTTTTGTTTTGTATATACGTCAAAGGTTTAAAATGCATGTATATTTGTGATTTACTCATTTTTTTAAAGTTAATTTCATATTTTTCATTAAAGAAACCAAAAGATGTGCATTAGTGTTTTTGCTTTTTTTTTATTTTGAAAAACATGTCTTTTGTCTATTTTCTACGCTTTACTCATCTAAATAGAATGTAAGAAAACGTTTTGTTTTAGATTTTCAATACAAAATACTCACTTCAACTAAAACATTGAAGCAAACAAGTCACACAATAGCTAATACTATAACATTACTTGTTCAACCTCCTGCCTATTGATAAACTATTAACTATTTTATCGTAACCAAAAAAATCTATTTTATTCAGCAATTAAATGAGTAAGTCGTTGACATTTAATTATTAAGAAAAAAAAACCAAAAAATACTTCTTTGTATTATTTAGATAATCAATTTATCAATTCATCTATAATTAATCAATCTCATCAAGTAACTACATATTTAGTTTTTGATGATAATAAAGTTCAAGTAAGTAATATTTTTCATCTATTCAATCTAGAAAAAAAAACCTTTTCTTTTAGCTTGTTCAAATATCTATTGGTAATTCAAAGCCTGTTATATTTTTAAATGAAGATGGTAAAATTCTTCAAGCAACACCTTTACCTGGTGCTGTAATAGTTAATCGACCTTTTATACATTCATCTAAAATAAATGGACATTACATCATATGTAAGTACTTATCAATGAAAAAAAAATGAAAACATTATTTATTCTCTCTCCTCAAATAAAAAAGAAAAGAAATAAAGAATCGAATAAAAAACAATATTAAATAACATCTTTGGTTTTTATTTTCTTAGTATCTAATTCTAAAATCAGAAATAATATTCAACAACAACAACAAGCTGCTAGTACTTCTGTTGAAACACAACAGGTAAACAAAAAAAAAGGAAATGTTTCTATGTTATTTAATAAGATGATTATTTTATTAGTTACATCGAAATTGTTCACAAACGATTACTACTGTTCATACAAGTTCATCATTTGATAAAGCACGACGTAAATTATTTTCATTTTTTTCTTTTATTAAAATGCAACGAAAAATTCTTTGTTTTTTTTCTTAGATACTTTAACAAATAATACAGCAATAATGACAACAAAACAGTTAACAAGTAATATAAATTCATCATCCTTTGTTCAACCAAATTCAATCATTTCAACATCGATGTCTAATGGAAATACTTTACAAACACATCAAAAAGATATATCACCAATATGTAATAATAATAATAATAATGTACCGTTAGATAATCGACGACCAAGGAGGTAAAATAAAATACAATCTATTGTCTTTGATCTTTATTCCTTTAAGGCCTCCTCTCTCCCTCAAAAAAAGTCAATTTTCGTCAAAATTTTCGAAATTGAGATAAATGCATGAGGAGATAGCCTGTTATCTGCTCTTTCATAAGCGATAAAAAGTTTTCCTCGATACCTCATTTTTTCCAAAAAATTTTCAAGTTTTTCGAGACCCCGTATTCGAAAAACCAGCGGTTTTTTGAAAAATCACAAAATGTTTTTCATTTTTTCTTGGTTTGTGACTTTTTGATCTTCTGTCCAAGATTTCTCGGTCCAGGCTCTTTCAATATATTTAAATTTTTTTTTGTTTGAAAGAGCGTGTCAAGATGCAGGGCACCACAGAGTCTTTTTTTTAATTAAGTCTTGTTTTTTACTATATATACAGACGGAGACACCCATTTTTGGTGCGGTTTTTGAGTCATTGAACTTGTGATCCCTATTTTCCGCTAATAAAGTAAGAATTTAAAAAAAAGGACTCTGTGGTGCCCTGCATCTCGACGCGCTCTTTCAAACAAAAAAAATTTAAATATATTCACAGAGCCTGAACCGAGAAATCTTGGACAGAAAATGAGCTATTTTTCGACCCTTGTTTGGTTCACATCTCTGTCAAACGTAAGGGTATCGAGCTGAAAAGTTTACCACAGCCTCCACACTTCAGCCCCAACATATGCTCCAAATTTCAGCTCATTTGAACGCGCCTGGGCTGAGATCGGTTTTTGAGAGGGGGAGGGGGGTTTAATAATATCAGTTCAAGTTTATTAAAAAAGAAGCGTCAACAATCAAAGTAAAACGAAAGTTATCTTTTTTCAAAAAACTAATTTGTGTTTCTTTCTGTAGATCATATGAATATGATCCATTTACTAACAAACGAACAAAAATTTGTTCAAGATTGGAACCCATAGAATTAACAACATCAAATAAAACAACACCATTATTGATACCTGAACAAACCAAAACAACGACAACATTTATTAATTTAGATCCACATATAAATGCTTCTACTTCGTTAAGCTATCCAAATCAACTAATTAATCATAGAGTAAGTTGTTGCAAAATTTAGTCTTAAATTTGTTTTATAATGAAATACAATAGAATATGATATTTGAAATTCTGAGATTAAATAAATATAATACCGAAGACAGATATATACTTATCTAGAAAATTGAAAAAAAATAAAATTTAATACTCACACTCCGAATTTAAATTAAGGGCACTCCATTTCCGAGACCTCTTGAGAACGGCTTGACGAAAAGTTCTGAAACTTTCAGGGTAGATAGATCTTGATGAGTTGAGCAAAAGTTGGCATAGACTCAAAATTCTTGGATGCTGTCTTCAGGAAAACAGGGGGTCACAAGGAGTAAAAATGGGTAGAAGTTTTCCTCATCCGCAAAAACTTTACATTTGATCGTTCTGAGTTGAAACTTTTTTTATGCGAAAACTAGGATCAAATCGAGGTGTGTAATTTTTTGTTTCTTCAAAAAGTACCCTTCCTACAGCTTATGAGAGGCAAAATACTATAGACACTATCAAAAAATGTTTTTTTTTCAATGGTGCTAATTTTCTAAAGACTGCCAAATTCCATAGAAATAATATTTTCAAGAAAGAGAAAAAAAGACACTCCAATATGGCTAAAGTACTCGTAAAAAAATATTGAGCCCGATCGGATTGTACCGTGGAGGAAAAATTCAATTCTCTGCAAAAAATATCTGGTTTTGAGAAAAAATGCCAAAAACATTGTTTTTTTTTAGTTTTTCAGCGTATTTTGTAGTTTTTATATATTAAATGTATCTTTGCAATTCTTAAAATGTGCTGATTAGATAGAAGGCATTTAAATCTATTTTCTACAGACAAAAAACGAAAAACAAAAATCTGAAAAATGTCAGCCGGGAAAGGGAAGGTACTCGTAAGTTTTTGAACAGGAAAGTTTAAATTGAATTATATATGTAAATAAAACTAAGTAAATTTCAGTAGGCTTTTAACATCTCAAGAAATGATTTTCATAGAATTTAATAAAATAGATTGTTGCAAATTTTGAAGAAAACTTCAAAATTCTACATTATCATATACATCTAATCATTAATAGTACTAGAATTGTAACAATAGACACCAGAAAGGTAAGGTTCTTTTAGATTCACTAAAGTTCGTAAAAATATGTATTTCTAATTCTTTAATGATTATCTCATACGTTGTTAGTATATTCGAGATTGAGTATTTTGCTTTTGTTTTTTATATCCTCTTCTCTTCCTACTTTTAGTGAGAATTTTTCTTTATTATATTTACCATATTAATTGACTTTTTCAAAATTTATAGAATACAATTTCTGATTATAATTCTTCGTCATTAAAAGCATTTTCTACAAAATTATCAAAGATAACAAATGAAACAAAACTTGAACATGTTGAATCATCAATAATTATTGAAAAGTCAATTAAGAATCACCAACCAACATCACAACTAGATTGTGATTTACCTACTGATCCACGTCAATGGACAATTAATCAGGTAGCAAAATTTATTCTACGATTAACTAATGATAAAATTAGTCAAGTATTTTATCAAAATGAAATTAGTGGTCAAGCTTTATTACTAATGACTGAAGGATATTTACGTACAATTATGAAAATAAACCTAGGACCCTCATTAACTATATCACATGAAATAGTAAAATTACGTGAACGTGTCAAAACATTCATTTCTTAATTAAAGCTATATATTTATTTTTGTCTATGTATTATTTTCTTTGCAAGTGTAAGAAAAAATTCGATAAAAGAAAAGTTTTATTTTTATATTAAGATAGTGAAATTTGAAAATTATTCACGTGATATTGATGAAACTTTTCTAAATATTAAATTAACTGCATTTTTTTTTATCAAATAATTATAATTAACCTCAATGAAGATGAACTTGTACTATTTTATTTACTTGTTTAAATGTATATAAATATATGAAATATAACATGGTTCAAATCTTTATAAAATATTTCCAACTGTAATTCATTCATAATAACATTAAACAGTTAAAAGAAACGCAAAAAACGAAACAAAAATTTTCAATATTAAATTAATTTCATTTTAATATTTAAAAATAGTTGAATTAAAAGGATGCGTGTGGCTGTGGGTGTGAGAGGGTGTGGGGGTGGGGGTGTGGGTGTGTGGGTGTGCGTGGGTGATGATTTCCTTTTATACTGAAGCCCATATTCACACCCACACTCACACAAACCACACCCACACCCGCTATCGTCCGAATATTCGATGTATGAGGAGCGCGCACTCAAAGTGGTCATTAGACTAGGCAGTTAGTCTGAATCTACACGAATACATACGTACATATTTGTGTATATGTTCGACGACACACAAACACAAATACTTATTTTATTTCATTGAAGCCTTCCTTTAATCAAGAGAATCGAAATACATTAAGAAATATTTTTCTTCAAATACTAATTTCAGATGTTTTACACCTTCCAAGCAATCGTTGCCGTGCCTCGCTTTGTAAAAATTTTTAATTTTTGTCCACTTTCGGATACAGTTTCGACAGGTTCGATCCAGACAGTATGCAGTTTTTCTATGGATCTTAATAGCCTATAGTCTTTATCTAATGAAAGTTCCAAGCGAGCAGTTAACCGTTTGTTGACGCCTTTAGGGCGCCCCTCACGGATAACCATTTCCAACATCAAGTTGACTTATCCTTGTGATCAACCTGTTTCATTTATATTCTAAATGATTCAGGTATCACTTAATTCGAAAAATGTTTGATGAAAAATTAGGAAATTCTCAAGAAAAAGAATGTAAACCGCAGCTACCATCACTCATTACATTCGGACTTATTTGCACTTTTCGATAATGTTCTGAACATTTTGAAATAAATTCAACAAGGTTCCTGACTGCATACAGAAGGTGACAATGGCTGTAAATATGTTCAAATACGTATCTATCTGCTATTGTGTCATATTCTATTTTCGAGAAAAGTCCAACGGAAGATGAGATCACACAACTTTTATCAAGCACTACTACAGTTTTTTCATTCAGCTTAACTATTAGAGAAAAAAAAAGGAATAACCTCATATCTGTTGTACATAGTAAATGCATAACATCATCATGAGAATAATGAGTTGACAAATTAGAAAGTTCAGTCTTTCTTACGAAACAAATCAAGTAATCATTTTATGAGACTACCTATCGATTTGAATGCCTCGACCCGAAAAACCTTTGGTCAAATTTTGTCAGAAAAATTTTTTTTTTGTAAAAAGCCTTTGTTTCATGGAAAAATTTAATAAAAAACTTCAAAAAACTAATCGCAGATTTGAATTTGTCGACCACGAAAACCTTTGATCAAACTTTATTCAAGCTTTATCTCAGGGAATGTAACAAATGAACATAGGAATATACGAACGAAGATAGCTCACTCGGCGTGTAACCTCCTTCCAATAGAGGGGATAAATCAAATGATATTGATAACGTGGTTAGATACATATTTTTCCTGTTGTTTAGTTGAATTTATTTCGAAAAACATCATCATCATCTGTTAAGATAGATTCAGATAAAAATGGTTATATAAGTCTAACTTTATTTCAATGAAGATTTATGTGGAAGACTTATGGATGTTGGCTATACCAGTAAAGAATACAATTCAATTTTATGAATGTGAGAAATGAACAAAAACAAACATATGAACATGATTCAATTGACGAAGCTTGTTTTCCATTTTAATCGATACGTTCAACCTAATGTCTTTACTTTCTAGATGATTAATTTAGTCAGTTATTCTTCATGTCGTACATTATTCATTGTGACTTATGTAAGTGGTCAATTATCCATTTTATTTATCGTCTTACTTTTGACGTTTGTATGAAGTAGAAAAACAGATTTTTTTTCCTGATTAATTTGATTAAAAAACTCTTTCATTTGAAGTTATTCATCAAAAGATGTTGTTTGTGCAATTGCATGAAAGCTAAGAGAAACATATCGATTTAAAGAGAGTGCGTCAGAAGATTCTCTACTACTAATAGTAGAGGATCTTCTGACGGACTCTCTCTTAATACTTTATCCAAGATCTTGACTTGGTAATACTTACTAAAGAATATTTTTCCACTGTTTGGAACTAGATCATACTGAAGTGTTCAAGGAAATACGATCTTCATTCCAGGATGTTCATGAAGCCGGCAGTTTCGAACGTTTTTTTTTGTATAAGACAGTAACCTCTAGCTTGGTTCATTCTGTTTATCGAAGAAATCCGACTTCAGATTTATAATTTGCGTTAAATTTTACATCGATGAGACTACTGCAGGAGTCTTTAGAGACATCCATACATGAATTGTAGTGATCGTTTTTGGACGATGTGCATTTCAGCCAAGATCTTATGTATCTGTACTCAAGATCTAATTACAGATATTGGTACAAGATAATGCGATTATCTTGTACCGCAATTTCCAAGATCTATTCACTTTTCTGTACCCTGTATCTTGGTCCAGATCTTACTGATAAGATGTTCATCAAAATGCCTACCTGAGCTCTTTTTTTTAATTAAGCTTAGTTTTTATGATATGTACAAACACTTACGTAAGTTGACGCCCATTTAGACAGTTTTTTTGAATGATTAAACTTCTGATCCTTTTCTCCACTTACAAAATAAGAATTTCGAAAAAAAAGGATTCTGGTGAGCAGTGCATCCAAATATGCTCTTTCAAACACAAAAAATTAATATATTGAATGAGCCCGGACAGATGAAAATGGATTGACAAATGAGCTATTTTTGGTCCTTGTTTGCTCCACATTTGTGTCATATGTCATGCTACAGAGCTGAAAATTTTACTATAGCCTCTCCACTTGAGTCCCAACATACTCTAAAACTTTCATGCGATTTCAATGTACTTGGTCCAAACATCGATTTTTGAGGGACCTTCAATGAATTCAATACTAGAAACATTAAAAAAGAAATTCTTCGACTAAAAGTTTCTGTAATCTTTACTCTTAAACCTTTCATTATAATATAACAATTTTCTTCCGAAATAAAAGCATTCCACTACTAGACATCATCAATATGAAACCAAAGTTACTCACATTGACATATTTTGCCAATTTCTAAATTATTCTATAAACAACATCGTCATGTTCTTACCGTAGTCCAAACCTAATTTCGTACAAAATATTTTCAATATAAAAAAAAAATCTACATTAATGAATAACAAAGTGAAAATGCTGCGAATCCATTTTCTTTATCAGTTCGAATACATTCGTCTACTGTTTCTCCATGTAATAAAATATATTCATCAAACGCTAATTGTCGAACACCGACCATACAAATAAAAACAAGGTTTTCTGCACATGCATGTGCCTAAAAAGCTTCATATATCAAAAGAAAACATTTTGTCAATCATAGAAGTTTTCATGTAGAAAAACAAGTCGAACTAACATCTGTTCACCTTTTGTTAATGGATTCAGCTTGACGTTTCCTTGTTTTTTTTTCGTGCTTGCCACTAACATTGCCACAATAATACATTCACTTGCCGCATCCTATTAAAATTTCTTATCGACTTGTAAATGAATAATAAGAAAATTTTTTCTTCAAATTGATTATTGGAATCTGTACACAAATTATAAGAAACAATAGTTTGGAAGCAATGTCAAAGGAAAACGATCGGACGATATATGCCACCACCTGTTCGGATTATATTCATTCTAATTACTAATAATCATCAGAAATATTCGAAATTTATTGTTTCTATCCTGATAATTTTGCTTGAAATAAGCAAATTTGCTAGTTGTCAAAACTTCGATCTAATATCTCGTTTGATTTGATAATGACACTTATGAATAGTTCGCAAGACAAGAATCAATTACATGGGCTTTTAAATTATTATCAACTAGCTCAAATACCCGACGTTGTCCGGGAAAATTCAATATTTCATGTATGACAGATTGAGAAACGGTAGCCTTATGGTTTTTTCCTAAGTTACCGATCTGGGATGTTGCAATTGAAAATGAGTGTTGAAGTTTATAAGAAGAAAAGTGAATCCCTCGCTCTGCCCACAAACCGCGACAGACATTGCGACATGGTAGTTGTTTTTGTGAAAAACGTTTGTAAATAACTGTCGAGTTTATAGCGAGAGAAGTGACCCTCTTCCCCGCTGTTCCATAGGCCGTGACAGAGATTTTCGATATGCCGCACCCAAAGGTGCAAATAAAGTCTAAAGATGACGGAGTAAACATTTTTTTTGAGTATGCAATCTATTTTTTCGCTGGAGGCTAATGGCAAACCAAACTTAGTGGGCGGATTAACGAAAATGTTTTCGAAAAAACAGGCAAAATAACCATTTTTCACGTTTGGTGAGCAAAACAACAAAAATTTGGGGTATCCCTATCGCCCCTCAATTTACGTTACCAGCAGCTTCTTTTATCTTCTGGATAGTGTCCAGCGTCGTGCAGGTCTTTAACTACAATGAAAACGACTCCATTGTGCTTTCCATGTTAATCTAATAAGGATTACGCTGAAAGTCTTGACTCATTTTGGGGATTTCTTTAATTTGAGATACATGTTTTGGACCTCCTGAACGAAACAATGGGATAACGTAGGGTTTGCGTGGTTCGATAGAGCACAAACTTCTCTACCGAATAGTCGTATTTCATGCCAAAGTACAATTGGTAATCCTTTTGTAATATAGTTTTCAAAATCTACACCAATGAATTTACCTGATTGGTTAG